GGTTAAATGCAAGCGTGACTGCAATTTCTGGGGAGCCTGGACTTCTGCAGTTTCACGTGGTGTCTCCACAACAGCCGCAGCTTCAAACGCCCTGGCACAGGCTACCCAGGGAGGCTGTGGAGTCTCCTTCTCTGGAGATCTTCCAAAACCTCCTGGATACCACCGTGTGCCCCGTGCTCCGGGTGTCCCTGCTGGAGCAGGGGGTTGGACTAGATGATCTCAAGGTCCCTTCCCACCTCAACCATTCTGTGATCCTGTGAAAAGGAAGCAACAGGTAGTAAGTTGCTGTGAGATTCAGAACAACCACCTCATGGGCAAAAGAGCATCTCGTGTTTCTAAATGCCCAGCTGCACTGAGCTAGAACTGTCCAATTTAAAGCATCCTGTGTAGTTGTCTCCCACGTGAACTGCCGGGCTCTGGGAAGTTGGGGTCTCTCTGCTCAAGGACTCACAGGTCAAGCTACTTGTTAGTCTTTGGGGTGCTGAAGCTCTCGTCGCTTCCATGCTTGGTGCATCTCCAGACATCATCAGCTTTTTCCCAGCACTCCAGCTCCTATTTTCCCCTGCCAGGGGAAGAGCTGAGGAGAGTGGAAGGTTGTTTTGATCAGCTAGCTGTGGTTAGGATTGCAAAAAATTATGTTTTAAACAAGCGTCTGAGACTTCTGGATGTATCTTTGGATTTAATTTAGTTCAGTCCAGAAGAAACAATGGATGAAGACTCTTCCTCACTATTGTGAAGAAGAGCACTGCTGCTCTTTTGAATCATATGGGTCCTGCTGGTTTAGAACAGTTTCTCCTATTGCTTTGTCTATGTAAAAGCTTGAGCCCATCCCAGATCCTTCTGGCTTTCCCCAGCTGCTACAGCCTAATTTCTGGTGCTGCAGCCTTGCCCATGGTCTGCTCTCCATACCCCAAAAGATCCCCTGCCTAAATGCAAAGCTGACCTGGTCCTGTCTGCACTCCAGCCCAGCCCCTGTGTGTTGTCCTTGCAGACAACAAGGCGAGCCCATATGTGTCTCTTGTGAGAGGAGGTGGAAGAAGTGTGTGGCGCGGGTGAGAAGACCTGTGCCCTTGTTTAGGAGCAGTTACAGCTCAGGCCTAACGCCCGTGAGCGGCGACGAGAGCGGAGCTAGGGAGCTGCGCGTGCCGCGCTGCGTGAGCGCCCGGCTGCTGCAGCAAACGCAGCTGAACCCGGGCGAGCCAAGCGGTGCCAGAACCAACCCAGCTCGGAGATAGCGAGGGCTCCCGGCGGGTCAGGAGCCGAGCTGCTCGCTGCCGGCGCCTCCGGGTAGCAGGCACCTTGTGCCCCTCACAAGGCTGAAGGAGATGCTAAACCTCAGAAGATGCTGAGGGAGAAGGAGGAGGAGGAGGAGGGGGAAAAAGGAGACTGTCCCAGTAATGTCAGTAATGTCACTGAGAGACACGCAAGGAGACAATAGGGAGAGGCACGTGGCGTGTGCTGGGCACAGCCGGGCACTTTGGTCACAGTGCAGGATAACCAGAGCGTGGCACCGCTCCGAGCTGTCCCGAGCGGGATGCGGGAACGAGCAGCCAGCGCTGCTTCCTACCTATGCTCTTCCTCCGGGATTAAAGGTCACATTAGCAGCTGCATCAAGTGAATGTTTATCAGCAGCTTGGGAGGAACGCAGGCTTACGTGAGGCTCTGGGATGTGTCCGAGGCTGCTGGGCAGGGGCCCTGCACCTGCAGTTCCGGGAATCGGGATGAGCCGGGGGGCAGCACCCAGGGGTGACAGAGGTGCCTCAGCCCCCTGCGGCAGCTGGGGCGGACAGAGGGGCCCAGGGCGCAGCTGCTCCTTGATCCCAACGTGTGCCTCGTTTTGTGTCTGGGAATGGGCCTCTTCGTCTACTGGAACTATTCCGAGATCCCGAATAACCTTGTGTATAAATACTGAATGGTTGGGAAGTAAACCCAGGCCTTGGTGTGACCTTAATGCACAGCAGCTTCAGTAATGCAAAGATTTTGTGGGGGGTTGCATGAAAATTATAAATAAGGACAATGTTTGCAGGCAATAAGCATGGCAGTGAAAAAGACAAAAGAGTAATGAGTGGATTAGGTGAGGAAACCATGTGGTACTCCTGAGCTTGTGCTCTGGTAATCTGCACTCCTCATCTCTTATAAGGGGAAAATAACAACATTTCAACTGTTCTAATTTAGTATTGCAGACACTTGTTCTTTAGAAATAACAACTGCAGACACCGGAGCATTTATGTTGCTGACTTTGCAAGGTGTTTATTTTTTTAGCGAGATGAATGCCAAGGAGCTTTGCATTTATATTAAATACATTCCAGCAGTACTGTTTGTTGAAGTATGACAAGGCATTTTTTTCCTTTTATTTTTAAATACTGCTAAGTTCTCAGAGTTAGCACTCAGAATGATGTGTTAGATTCTGTTGTGATATTTATTCCTACTTGAGGCTGCAGTTCTGTGCAGGTCTGGGATAGAAGTGTGGTGGATGCTGTTGATACTCCAAACGAAACCTTTCTCTTCCCTGACGAGTTGACTTAAATATTTGAGGACAACTCTGTTGCTGGTTTGCATGTGTTTTATTACATTTAAATAACAATTCTGAGGAAACAAAACTGAAAACTATGGTTTGAACGAACAACATGAAGCTCGTAGGTCATGATTTCAACCAAGACCAGAGTTTTCTTAGGGTTGTTATTGCTGAAATGCTTGCCACAAAATAATGACTACCTGCTACCTCAATGCTACCTCATTTTTCAAGTTTTTTGGGCCACACACCAGTAGAGTCATGAACAAGTCCAGGCACCCCTTCAAGTTGCTGAATGGTATGGGTGAGGAAATAAAAGTATTAACAGTTGGTCAAAAAGCAAGAGGCAATTTTGGTTCCCGAGGGATGCCAAGCTCTAATCGTGTTATAGCCTTGTTTGCTGAAGTGCAGAAATGCTTCGTGAGGCTGCTGCCCTACAGCGTGCAACGTATTTGGAGTTGTCGTGTGAAAGGAGGTGCTTGTATCCTTGCTTGTTTGTTCAGCAAGGAGACAGATTTTAGAAACATGTAAATATAATTAAAATGAGGCATAAAGATCTTGTGTTTACGTGACTCCCTGCCACCCCCCCACAGACACATGCATGTGGATTTTAAAAGGCCAGAGCTCTCTGAAGGCTTTTTAAACAGCTGTCCTCCACATTGCCAAGGTTTTTTCTGATAATTTCTTAAAAACCTGCACTATTGGATTCTACGACTAAATCTGGCATCCGTGGAAGCAGTAATGGAGCCGTGGAGCTCATCTCTCATAAGATGCAAAAAAAATCCAAAAAATAAATCTACCCAATTACCTGGTTCTGAGAGTTTTCAAGTTCTTACAGTTTGCAAAACTACTGCAGAACCATACTTACCCGTTTGGTTATTTGCAAATTGGTTGCATTTGAAACATTTATTTAGTTTAAAATACATTTCCATCTTGAAATCTCCTCCCCAAAGTGATTTTTTTTTTTTGTAAGTCATCCTAAATTTTAAAAGCTTGCATTCATTTTCAACATAGTGCAGGACTGTTAGAAACCCAGCTTGAAAATATATCTTAGCAGGACAAATGAAGGACAAAGCTTAATGAGAACACCTGAGAAAAATACCACCAATTTTTGATCATCTTTGTAGATGAAAAAAGCAAGAAACACTGTTGTCACAGTGCCATTTACTAAAGTGTTTGTTCAAGTATAATTAAAATTCATATAATGAAAATATATACAATTAAAAGGAATTGTTGAGGATGCACGTGTTGTTTTTAATAGTTTTTTTACGGGAAAGTCTCCTGAGGTTGAGGGCGAGCTGGTGTCATGATACTAAAAGTAGGCAATTACAGGCCTGTCAGCTTCTCTTCAGCCCCACACAAAATAATGCGACAGCTGAAACCAGACTCAGTTAATGAAGAGATAAAACATGATAATATAACAAATGCCAGGCCACGTGTTTTTATAGACTCTGGGGTTTGCAGATCTAAGTTGATAGATAAATGCAGCTGTTTGGAGTTGTCACACAATTAATAATATTTAATAACCGTAATAGTATATGCTGGATATAACAGGATATTATAAAATAAAACTTGCTTCCATATGCTGTCTTAAGAAAAGAAAATGATACAATATCCACATGGCAAACATTAAATATTCCTGGCTAGCTGACAGACCTTAGAATACAATCATACAAATCATCATCTGTGTGTTTTTTATTATTATTATTATTAGTGGTTATCCCGTAAGGGTTGCGACTTGTCTTTGCTATCTGTCGGGTTTATCAGTGATTTGTTCGTTCACTGTTTCTAGCTTTCTTCAGATGACATAAAGATATCTAGGGTGTGATTTAACTGAAAAAGTCTGAGCAGTAACAGCAGATGATTCCTTGGCAAACCAAACACAGCTCCAGCAGCTCCATTTAGTGGCTGGATTTAAAGTCGCCCACCCTACGACCAAGCAAGATGAGCCCTTCTTTTCTGCATGTGAGGCTGTTTCAGGCACATTGAGTCCCCGGGGGTTATCCCAGCTACCCGGAGGGTTTCTTCTGTGATAGTAAGATTGAAGGGGCTACATGTGTGCAGAGAGAAACAGAGTGGAAAGAGGGTGCATTTCTGAATGTCATTAATCATTGGATAATTAAGCAAGGGTTGCAAGAGCAGCTTTTGCATCTGGACTGACTTCTTCCAGGCAACGTGCTTCAGTGCTTTAGGGTTGTTGGATCTGAAATAGTGAGATACAGTGTAGGGAAAACATACATTTGGGTGGATGATGGTAGATGATTAGAATGTCCCTTCTGATCTTCTGATTTTAATCTATGAAATATTTTTATTGCTGACCATTTTTAATAGGAAATCTAAGCAGTTGTTGCAACCCTTGTATAACTCTTACATGTTTTTTTCCTTTCAGAATTCCTGTGTCCTTTAATTAAAGGAGCTGTTGCTATGCCATCATTCCATGGACCTGAAATATTGGTGAATTAGCCTGGCTGCCCCTCAGGACTGCAGAATGGAGCCAATAACGTTCAAAGTGAAGAAGCACCAGACGCCCGGTGAGCTCCCGGTGAGTTTCAGCCTGCAGCTGGTCGGTTCCCTGCCCGTGCACTCGCTGACCACCATGTCCATGCTGCCCTGGGTGGTGGCGGAGATCCGGCGGCTCCGCACGGAGCCTGCCAAGGAAGAACCCAGCACCAGCCAAATCCGGCTCTACGTTTCCCCGGCGAGTCTGCGGTGCGAGCCGGACACGGGCAGAAACCAGCCGTGGGACCCCCTGATCTGCTCGAGCCTCTTCGAGCACAAGCCCCAGCACGTGCACAAGCTCATTCACAACAGCCACGAGCCCAGCTACTTCGCCTGCCTCGTCAAGGAGGGAGCGGCCGCCCAGCAGAGTGTCTGCTATGTCTTCAAAGCTGATGACCAAACAAAAGTGAGTAAAAAGTGAACCCCAGGGAGCCTGCCCTCAGAATCACGCTCAGGAGGCGGCTCTTCTGCCTGTAGCAAGTGTTTTGTAGAGCGTGGCAGGGAGAGGTCTGCACTTGCTCTTGGGTAATGGAGGGGCTTCTGTGCTGTGTGAAACTTCAGCGTAACACTGAGCGGTGCTAGTTACAGCTAAAGCCTGGATCTCTCTAAAACTCACCAATGGGGTTTTACTTCTCTTAGTGTCAACAGTTGTGTTGAATTTGAGCTGCTCGGTGTGTGGAGTGAAAGGTGGGTCATTCTCTTGCAGCATCAGAGCCGGAGTTTCGCTGGGTTAGAAAACACTTTCTTTTGGTTTACGAGCTGAAGTCTTGGCCCTCTTTAAGTTGATGAGAGTTTTTCAGTTGATGTCACGAGGGGTAGGATTTCACCCTTTAGTCACTGTGAACTTTATCTCATCCTAAAGTCAGACCTCTCAGATTTCTGTTTTCCCGAGCAGCGACCTATGTGTCTGGGAAAGAGAGGTGCCTCCTTCCTGCCACGGAGGAGGGCTGGGTGGATCAGGCACCTCCAGCTGCAGCCCTCTTCCCGGCTCTGTAGCCCACAGAGCCCATCAGAGAGCAGAGGAGAGGCCTCCACACGGAGCTGCATGTCTGATCTGCAGGCTCTGAGACAGGGCAGGTCTCACACTGTGGGTGACATTGGGCTCGGCCTGAGTTTTACACAAGAAATTTTTGACCGTGGTGTAAAGGTGGCAGCCTTAAAAATAGTTGATTTCTTCCCCTGTCCAAGGAATGCGAGGGCTCCGAGTGAGCAAGGAGGGCAAAGCTCTGCACGGGGCCACGCGGCAGGTTGCTGATCTGCTGTGGGCAGAGCAGTGTCCCGTGTGTCCCTCGCCATGACAGCGGCACTGGTAGCTCTTGGAAGCTGCCACGGTGCCGCACGGACGGCACTCGGCTCCTAGGGGAGGGCCTGCAAAGCACCTGGGAGCACCTCGCTGAATCTGCCGTGCACGTGGGGTTTAGGCCCTGTCCAACAGCAAAACATTGCATGGTTCCAAAGCTGCGCCTCTGGCTTAGAGCTCAAAACATCCAGAAAGAGCTTTAGTGAAATCCCCCCAGATAAAAAGGCAGTTCAGTAAGTTAGAAGGCAAGTAGGTTGTAAATCAGAAGCATTCGTGTAAGAGGTCACATGACGTTAAATTGCATATAGCAAATGTTTGTATGTAAGGAGGTATAAATAAAGAATAGATGTTTTAGGCCTTTAGATGTTGAACAGAAGCTGTTACATGCGTTTTGCCTATGTGCCTCATTTTGTGGCTTGTGGTTTTGCAGGATTCTGGTTAGTAAGCAACACTGATCAACTGCACCACATTTTTTGCAGCAGTGTGTTGAAAAGCAAGTATTGTTTTCATATTTGATCACGTTTTAGACCTGTTTGAAGTGACAGCAAAATAAATCTCTAGTGAAATTTTCATCTGTGTCTACACACTTTTGTACAGAACGCACAATTTCTGGGTGCCCAGATCCAAACAGCTCCCTGTCCTTTAGAAAACTACACCCCCCTGAACAGGAAATTGAATTCTAGTCATTATCTGTGTTGGCTGCTAGGCTGTTTCTCTTTACTCTTTTGCAAGCTGGGTCCTGAAGTAGGAGGTAGGCATCTAACCAATGTTTATGGACCTGTGTTTTAACAACAGGGTACTGGAAATGCCCAAATCTCCAAAAGTGAAGTCCAGGGCAATTTACTACAATTTGGTGTGGTTTCTGAATAACTTAATTAACTTCCATATGCTTTGCAGTGTTTTGTTGTTCTGCCCTGAGTCCTTCTATGTAAATCTGATTAGCTGATTAGTGTTTGTGAGTTTATGAAGAGCAGAGAATGGGTTACGCGTCTTGCAGATCCCAGCTTGGATATCTCTGTTATAAACAGAGGGAGCTGTTTGTTAAACGTGTCTGAGTGAGATGAAGAACCTAGTGCTAGGTTGCTGCAGCTTCGCCTTCAGAAGAAACAAAGGGTGGGAGCTGGACACTAGCAGCCCGTGTGGCGTGGCAGCCTGCTGGGCTGACCTGCTGCCTCCCGAGGGCTGCTCTTCAGCATCCACAGCGTCTGCTCTGGAGAATCAAGAGCAGCCTTCCAGACCAAGCTGCCACGTTGGAGTTACCTTCTGCTCTGCACAGCTCCTGGTGGACAAAAAATATACAAAATATATTTTGTAGCATATTCGCTGTTTAAAGGAATCACTGAATTCCACCTATGTTTTAGTCAACAGAGTTTAGGTGCTGATAACCCTTTACCCAGGGATCTTCAGTGTTCATATTTTTGTGAGAACTGCACTTCATCTGTTTTTACTAAAAACAAACCAAAAATATACAAAAAAAAAAGAGAAACCCCTAAAATAATGGCTACTGATTGTCATACATGGCAAACTACAAGAGCTGCAGCTGTTTATGTTTTCACAGCTGAATCTGTGGTATAGAGTTCTCAGTTTAGCTCAGATATAACCAAGGATTTGAAGCTGAAGGTAATTGTCCCTCTGAAATAAATTCTCTGTGTTAGGATAAGCAGAATGAGAGAGGGCAGAAGGACATCTATGGGAGAAGTAGACTAGGAAGATTAATGTATTAGGAGGAAGGCAGGTAAGTGGAAGACGCAAGAGTGAAGGCCGCTGAGGAGGCTAACAAGGAACTTGGATTTGTTGCAGACACAGAAATAGCAATGGTGGTAGAAGGTGCAGAAATCACACCAATGTTGTACTTCCGGCGTCAGCGTTGTAGAGAGGCTGTAGTCTGTGTTTTAGCTAAAATCTAGATTTGGTTGACATAGGGGAAAATGTATGGGGTGGGTTTTTTCTGGATGTGAATGTGGGATTATCAGGTTCATTGCTATTCCACTTCCACCACATCCTCTTTAGAGAAGACATCAGTAGGCAAGTGCTTAATGCAACGTCGTGTCAGTGCTCAGAACACTTTGTGCTGCTCCTTCAGCAGCGAGGGAACAGCAGTGCTGCCCTGTTAGGATATTTGTCTCCGCTCGGCAGGATCTTGTGTAATTATTTCCAGTGCATCATTGTGGCAGAATGTGGCTCCCTGGCCCTGCTGCGGGAACCTGCAGGTAGGGAAGGCTGGGGGAAGGTGGCCCCTTGCTGGAAGGTGGTGCGTGGAGACCCTTCCCCTCCGACATCCCGGTTAGTCCTGGAGGGAATTCTGAGGCGTCTGCACTGCCTAGGGACAACGTTGCCTGTGGATTAGAGTTCTCCTTCCTCAGTAGAGGTGTTGTTTATGGGACTTGGAGCCTCTCTCATGGATACTGTGAGAGATGGTGCAGTTTCTTACCCCTTCGCCCATTCGGGGGAGATGCTCCTGTGGCTTCAGCATTGAGAAATTTCTGCCGGAGGATGGAGCTGAAGTGTGAATGTTTTGTGGGCGCTCTGGCACGGAGCTGGGTTACGTTGCATTGCCTGGTGAGCTGACAGGCACTGCGGGGAGGTTGGAGTTGGGCCGGGCATGTCCTGCTGCATGGCAGGAGCTGCCCGGGTGCCCTGGCCCGGTGCAGGCAGCGCCGCGAGCAGCCCGCACCTCTCCTGAGCAGCCTCTGCTCTGAGACTTGTTTGACAGGCCTGTGACGCTCTTGGTGTTGTTGCTGAAACCTCTTTACATTAAAGAGAAGTTTGTTTGCTTGTTTTTGTTTGTTTTTCCTGCCCTTGGAATGTGGTGGTTTTAAAGATGCTGTGTTTGGAACTGTGGGTGAAGGCTGCGATTCCCGTAGCCAGCTCGCTCATCATAACCCCACTTCCTCGCTGCTATGTGACCCCTTGCTTAACTCCCGCTGGGAAATGGAAGAGGAGGAGACGCTGACAGAATATTGTCACTGTCTCCCAAAAGTTATGCAGCAGCAAAGCATTCCTGAAAAAGAATAATCTCTCCACCTACTTTCAGTTAGAAAAGTAATTCTGTGCCCCATTACGTTGATCCTTCTTTGGTGCAGCAAATGATTTGTTTTACTTAGCTGTGTTTATTCTATTTGATGGTTGGTTGGGCTCACAAATGGAGTGTGGGTGACTGTAATTTATCTGATAATGCCCTGGGTTAGTTTAGATGTAAGGCAAGCTAAGCTTGTTCTGTCCTTCCTTACGTTTTTCTATTTATTTTAAATAAAGAGTAACAGTTCTAATGTTAATAGCTTCATAGACATGTGGGAGATGGCTCTCACAATGAAGGGCCCAACTCTGTTACTAACAGATAGTTAGTTGGAGGTTACTGACAAGCCTGATGGTCACGGGTTGCAGTTGACAGCAGTGGGTGAGAGCTGCCACTGCCGCCTCTAGCCGGCCCTTGGGATGGTTGTCCTGGACGTTTCGTAGCTTCTGGATTTCCCTCTGCAATACGGACTGGAGGTCTGTAAGGTTTGCAGGAGATTATGAAAATGTGAGCCCATGTCTTCTTAAAAACGTTTAGGTAGGACTGCTAGCGACTTGTGCAGAGCCAGGGCGTGCAGAGGCGTGAGAAGTTCAGTTTGGATTTTTAAAGGTTAAGGCCAGTTGTCACTATTTTGCAGCAGTCTGCATGCAGATTGTCATAGCAGCTGTGCACGGGTATGTACCTGTGTTACAGACGGGCAAAACTACCCTGATTTTCTGGAGCAGATGCTGCCCGGGACAGGCCTCCATCCGCCCCTCCCTAAATCCCCCCTGTGCGGGTCCGGGGAGCAGGGACAGCCCTGGGGCTGGTGTCAGCTCCAGCAGCATCAGGGAGCCGTAGCCCAGGGCACTCCTGCTCTTTAGGTACGTGGCCCTGTTCCCGTGGGACTCGGTGGTGCCAGGTCTCTCCCATAGTAGATCCGGGTAAGCCACGTCTCCTTACACTGTGTCTCTTAAAAAATGTAACATTTGCCCTTTTTTGGTGCTGTTTCCTTACACGAGCACTCTCTCTTTTGCCCAAAGTCTTTATATTTTTATCACAGCAATTGCATTAACGGTCACTTTACCAAGCTACCTTTTAAATAACCTTC